ATTATTATTATTATTATTATTATTATTATTATTATTATTATTATTATCATTCACATTCAGCAAGCATGACTTTTGGCGTACGTTCGTAGTTCTCTCTCTGTTCGGGTATTTGACTTATGACTACCGAGATGTAGATACAAGTCTTCTATCTTATAAAGAGTTCGGTACGTCGTGAACCATTTCCTAGAGTTGAAGATGTTTGTGGACGTAATGCAGAAGCTTCTAGTGGTCTTGATGAACACCTAGCCAAGTGTACATGTGAATATAAACTGGTTCTTTCTCAGGTCGCACACAGACGTACAGAGAGATACCTGGTCATAAAAGGAGTGCGGAAAGCGAAGCATTCTGTGGTCATCAACTTATCCTCTGAGCTCCAGTGTTACTACATGGCTCAGTACATCTTTCATTCTTGCGTGAAGCTAGTTGAATCGCAATCGCTCAAGCAAAACATTGGAACCACATTTGGTCCCAGTTGTACCTAAAAGAAGACCGAAGAGAGAACATACCTATAGACATACTGATATTTGTGTTGGTACACAATAAGGAAATGTCAAGGAAAGGAAAACAAACGAAATGGACAGAGGGAATGACAGAGATGTTTTAGAATGTAAGGAAAGAGCATTCGAAATAATATCTTCGAAGGATCCACCGCTTAACCAAAATGGCAGAAAGAAAGGCTACATTCAAATAATGGCGGAGCTATGGGAAGAGAAAGGCTATGGAAGCCTTGGTTTAACCGGCCAAAACCTCAGAGATCAAGCCTCAAGACTGCRAAACACACAGAATTGCTCTAATATGACGATTTTAACACAAGTAACCGAAGAAAATATCGAAAATATCGAACAAAATGAGGACGAATATGCAGCTAATCAACCAAGACCGACACCGAATTTGCATACTAGTTTATTGCAATCCCCTGAGGCATTTCTCGACAAAGAAGGAAAAACCTCAAGCAAAATTCAGCCAAATCTACCTGACTTTGATGTGCTTCCCTCTAAAATAAAAGAGTAGTATAGGGGATGGGGGTTCCAGCGCAACGACCACTGGAGGATTACCCGTCTAAAGTACCCCCC